TTAAATTTACATTTTTTTGAACCTTAGAAATTGAGTTATGAAGAGAAAATAGCAATTCATCTTTATTAATATTTATATACAATCGTTGTAAGAATGTATTGACAGAAATATTACTACTTTAAAAATATATTATTATCTACCTAATGAACATTTTTACAAAATCAAATTCATGTAAATAACTACATGAACTAAAATGACTACAGTAAGAATACTTAATTACTTATACATATGAGACTTAAACATCATTCTCATAAATTTAAAAACATTACAATTTTTGTGTAGACTAGAAGTATACTTTTTGTGACTTTCCTGATGCAAACTCATGAATGACAGAATCACTTGTTAGAAGTCAGTTTTCTCAGTTTCTTCTCTTTCATCACTCAATGGAGCAAGATTGCACAATCGTTCTTGTGCTCTTGAAGCTCTTAAGTAGGACTGTATAAACTTTAACTTGCTGGAAGATCTCTCACAGCTTGCAATAGAAACAGCAACAGTTAACACACTAATTTGGATAGTAATATCTATATATTTGAAAAAAAAAATTATTTCAAGTATCTTTAGCAAACTCTAAAAAACCAACGTCATGTAGCTTAATAACATCTCTAATAATAGATTGAAATTTTTTAACAACTTCTAGTTCCCCAAATAGAATAGTGTTAAGTGCTGCACTATTAATTGAAGACTCATAAATAGGTCTTCATCTTGTATTGTTGATTTTTTGTTTCTTGTAACATGTAGTTCCTAATATGTATGATGCATTGATGATTGGTTTGCACGATCGAGTTGTTTGGTAGTGCCTTCATCAGTTTCTGACACGTTTGAACTTAAATCGTCTTCAGATTCTGACAAATTTGGAGATGGCACAGGTGACTCCATAGAACATGCTGCACTAATTATATTAATGTTCACAAGATACCTAATCAAAAACATGCTAGATTTCTTATTCTCTAATTCTTCCGAATTTTGTCTTTTTCATCTAGAAGCATCAGATTCATTTTGGTTGAGAAGAAAAGCTTCATTGATAATATACTTATCTAAACTATATTACTTATATATTACTTTTTTGAAAATATATTACTTAACCTGGAAGATCGATGCATGTTATGGTAAAAGTTTATTTAAAAAAATGTAATTATTATATCAAAGTTTATGATCGAATTCAATATTGGGCATTGTTATTTGCATAAATCATATATGAATAGCATTATTGCAGGGATTGTGGCAGTGCAGTGGTTAGGACACCCATTTGCAGAGGACTCAGGATCAGATCTCAAAATAGGGGCTATCGATAAATTATGTAACGTGAATTTGGAGTATTTTGAATACCACCTCCCCCCCCCACCACCACCATGTAATGCCCCACCCGCAGGATTGAACCCCATAAATAAAGTACTTAACACTTGTGACAACACTCTCCCCCTTGTAAATGCAAGAAGTGAAAGTAAATTATAGCATAGTAAAAACTATTTGCATTTATTTTATTTGTGTTGTGATACGATAATTATATTTGGAATTGGGGGATGATGCTGATTACACCTAATAATAAGATTGAGGGCAAGTTGTTAGTGAAGGAAAGATGCAGAGGTGAGAAAATTTTTTATTATAAGCTGTGCACACACCATTGTGGATGACAAATGCGAAAGAGTCCACTCCACCAATTTAAATAGATTCTAGAATATACCACACATTTTCTTCATAATTTTACAGATTCAATACAAAAAATTATTTGAAAAATTTCATAAAATATATTTTATTGTGACAATTTACATCAAATAACTTTTATATATTTATGATTTTAAAACAATTTAATTACTTAATATTTAAATGTTTTAGTATAAGATTCAAAACAAGAATTATTTCAGCAGGTGTTCAAAAATGTAAAAAAATTTATGTCAGTATTATGTAACAATAAACTAATACACCCCCTCCCTATGTAACACAACATAATACTGCCTTAAACCCCCTCCCCCTTCTTTAGCATTATGTAATTTATGGAGAACCTCATAGTTGGGAATTCTATGTGGTCATGACTTATTCGGCGTTCCTAAAGTCCATGCAGCCTTCTTTCTAAATGTGTTCCAATGTTCACTGGCATTATTAACAGTAAATCCTGGGTGAAAAGTAGAATGATGCTTGCCACACCATTTTTACCCCACTTCTAGACATAAGACCATCTAGACACCCGTTACTTTAAAAAATAAAAAAATAAAAGAATTTGAAAGAGAGGATTACTAACATCCTCTAACCATAAGCAGGTTAAACCTGCAGTACAAAAATATACAAAGGAAAAAAAAATTATAAAAATATTAGATTTATGTGTTCTGTGTGTGTGTGTGTGTGTGTACAAGTGCATGTGTTTCAGTAATATCACTAGTGCTTAAGTGACAAGCTAAGCAGTCTTGTTTCTGTTGCTTGTTTTAATTCTTTATAAAATTTGATAGGATTCTCAGCATAGGCATCTTTTGTGAAGAGGTACTCCAAAAAATGATCATTTTTTCATTGCTTCTTTGGCAGTAGCATTATAACTACCTAAAGCTGACTTTCTGAACTTAAAAAGTGATATTGTCATTTTTTATTTTTCATTGCCGAAAAAAGGTCCTTATTTCAATGTTGTAAAGCCTTATTCAGTTCAGATAATATCTGTAATGCATCACACATCGTCACAAGATCAAAAATGAAATTGATGTTAGTCATTTTAATAAAAATACTGCAACATTTACTCTTTTCATTGTTGAGTCTAGTCAGTCTCTTTCAGTCTAGTCAGTCAATTTCTCCTTTAAAATGGCACACCCGTGCTTCATAGCTTTTCGACACAGTTTAAACAGTGTAAAATAAAAATATAATTCCAAATATAATTTATCTATCAAAGAATTAAACCTATTTATTACATACAGTGACTTCCCTGCATCGGAAACTGAAAGTTAAACAATGCCAAATAATAAGAGAGGGGATTTTTCTTTAAATAGTGTTGCAACACTTTTTTCATGATTTTTCTGGGTTAAGAATATGTACAATTTTTAAAAATTACAAAAACGAGTTTTTCTCCAAAATGGCTTCAAACTTTTTCTTTAAACTTTTGATGGTGATGATAGTGCTAAATGAATTCTATGAGATGAAATTAACATCAGTTTGCTATGTTCTTTTTTCTTTTCTTTTCTTTTCTTCTTTCCTTTCCTTTCCTTTCCTTTCCTTTCCTTTCCTTTCCTTTCCTTTCCTTTCCTTTCCTTTCCTTTCCTTTCCTTTCCTTTCCTTTCCTTTCCTTTCCTTTCCTTTCCTTTCCTTTCCTTTGTCTCACGCAGTTAATATGCACATTTCCTGAAATTTGTAAATACAATTGTATTTGCAAGTTAAAGTGCTCAAAATGACGTTTAATGTAGTTTTTCGAAAACTCAAAAATTTTCTGAGAAAAACGCCACAAATTTTCTGCCACAAATTTTGCAAAGAAAATGATTGGATTGGAGCAGTTTTTGAGAAAATTTTGAATAAGTCCCAGAGGCTTCTTGTAAAGTACCCCTAAATGTTAAAGAAAGTATTTAAAAATATTAAAGCTTCGACTCGAGCCAGATGAACGGTGTTTTCACTATATTACTATATATATAACTCGGTATATACGTACGTATATGTGAAAGTAAAAAGTAGTTCCTTGGACAGCTGAAAAACGATGGAATAATTGAGATGGCGGATAATAAGCGGAATTTTAATGAACTTAATTTTGTTACAAAAAAATATTATCTAAAAATGTAAAGTTTTCACAATCTTTTTTTATTTTTTTCTATCAAAAACATCTCTGTGAAACGTTTGTAACGGCAATATATCTATATCTAATATCTATAACTATCTATATCTAATATGCAACTATTCTCCAAAAAAATTTACAATCATTTTTGTGAATAATTTATTATTCTTGGCGTTTTCGCAAACTGTATAGTCACATCAACTATTGTGAATATTTCCAGAACGCGCATGATCTGGTTCAAAAATTTCCAATATATTGTTAGAAAATGATATATTGACAAAGTATTCATTAAATGGAAAATACTAGTTTATTTAAATAATTAAAAGGGGCATAATTAGAGTATTTTTGTTTGAACTAAAAATGTTTCATTTATTTATGTTGTACTTTTTTCTCAAACTTTTTCTCCTCCTTTTAATTTAAAAAAAATGGTCACCATAAATATTTTAATTATTCAAATGTATATTCAGGAAGTATTGAGAGACAAGAATCATTGAATAAAATTCAAAAAAATTGTAACTCTACTGAAAGGTAACTGTTCTAGTTCACAACATGACATTAATGCCAAATGAATTTGTCTGTGGGAAATAAAACAAAATTATCTACTTGTGAGTTTTGCTGACTTCCCACTAATTTTGTCTTTATACACACTGCACCATACTTGGTTTCGAACTGCATGGTCAATAATCAATTTAATATTTTGCTAATTGAACACTACTCATCAAGTTTTCTGAGATCCAGTAGTATTGTGGTATTGCATCTGTGATATCAATCATTATGAAATACAGAATGGATAAAAGTAATTTGAATTTAAGTAGTCTGTAATTAGAATCGGTCGAAATGAACATAAAACCAAATATTTCCGAGGTTGGCGCATGCGTCAAATAAGGCGGGCGATATCATTCATGCCACTCTTGGTCAGATGAAAACCAAAGAATATCAAAGGGAAAAAAATAAAAATTATTTTCTTTGCTCGCTCCGTCTAAACGAACATTTAAGGCCCGTAAAAATTTCTTGTTTTAATCATTTACAATGTATATAAATAATTAATCACTTCAAATACTATTAAAAATAAGTTAATTTTATAGTTTTTTTAAGGTCATTATTGAGCTTTTCTCCCTATTTAAGTTTGAGACAAGCAATTAGGAAAGTAAAAACGATACTACATCGCGAAAATAGATCTTATTTAATCAATGTGTGATATATTTCTCAGTTTTCTGAGATGTAACATCTTTAAGTAGCACGCCTATGTCCTCAACGCTTTTCAGAAGCCACCCTACGTAATGGCTACTCTGTCGGGTATTTTCTGTGTTAGCCTTTGTTATATTCCAAAGTTAGATAAAGTTTAAAATGATAAAAATCTTTTTTTTAAGTGAGAGGACCAGTGGACAAGTTTACACACTGTATTCGAAGCAAAATATTAAAGAGCAAGAGGCGTGTTCATTTTCCGGACACAATTCGTTAATGGGAAACGGAAATGATCATAGAGAAGTCGACGTTTCTCTCTATCGATAAGTAATTTTGACGCTGAAAGAAGTATAACGCACAATTAAATAAAATACGTACGATTTAGGGAAAGTTACTAAACGGAAGAATGTGTTTCACTTTCTCTGTGTATCAATAGTGCGCTGTGATGCGTAATCTTTTAAATACGTGCTCTGTGAACCCGCAAGTTGCTTGGTGTTCTGATGTGTTTTTGAAGCCGTGGTGTTTACGCCATGACAGCTAACCTGTTTATTGTTGGGCTTGCCCGTATTTCGACATTGTGTATAATGCACTCAATTGTGGAATAGGTAAGCATTTTTTTAGATTATGTGTACAATTTTAGATATTAGCGCGTTCGATTCATTTAGTTAGAGTATGTCCGAGTCTTATATAATACGGGAATGTGCGTTTTAAGCATTTTTTGGCTTCCAGTGGAGCGTTGGTATGCTTACGCGAACCTTGACGCATCTGACAGGCGTCTCATTCCTGTGTTTCTTATAATTAAGATAGACGTTAAACTTACAGGTGCGAACACTTTAATTTTGTAACTTGAGATGTTATGTGAAAGTAACTTTCTCAAATATAGAATGATAAATGGGGTAATAATTATTTTAATGTTTAATAATTGCACAAAGGAATGTGTTGTAGAAGGTTTATTACAATTTTTATTCTTAGAATTACTAATAGGAATTTTATATTTTTTTTTTAATTTGATGTAAATGAGCACATGCCTTTACAAATCATTGTTCATTATTTTTCAGTTATGGGATTTGATGAAAACCATAAAATGTATGAATGCTCAGTTGAAGATTACTCAAAATGCAGCGTGTAATAATTGATATGCACGCTTTGTTATGTATACATAAGTTCCATGTGCAATGTGTCCCCAGAATAGTCTAATTTATTGAATTAAATAAGTGTATTTCATCATGTGAATATTTCTCTTTTCTACATAATTGAAAGGTTGTAATTGCATACTTTACCATCGTTTTTTGGTGCTGTTTGGATGTGTGGTTCATTTTCTCAGTTGAGTAAGTAGCTCTTAATATGTATGAGCTATACTCTTATTATTCTTGTGTATGTTAGTCTTATTGTTATTCTTGGTAAAGAAACGTGCAGATTCTTGAATAAATGGATGAATATTTCTTTAGACTTATCTTCAGTATTTGTTTTTTGTTTAAAATAGCTTGAAAAGTTTTATTGCTTATTGTATGCTTTATACACCAATTACTTTTAATTAGTATTTAATGATTGTGGAATATGCATGGTGTGGTGTAACCGCTTCATGTAGTTGTACATTTTCCTAGTAGTTCAACTCCTTCATTGACCTAGATGTAAGCGAGGTCAGAATTGCTTTATTATCTAATCTATTGTGCATCCTATACTTTCTGTAATGAGCATGGAGAGAACCCTACAGTATTATGCTTTGTCAGGCCTGTTTTCGTCAAAGCTTGTTCATCTGAATCAAGAAGTGATGGTTTGATTTTAATTTCTGTTTGTTGTGTGTGTGTGCTTAGAATTTCAGAGTATTCACAAGTATCTTATCTGCATGATCTTGAAGATTTTTCTTTTTCTCAAATAGGCATTTTCAAATTGTGCGAATTCTGGAAAATCAATTATCACTGCTGATGAATGAGACAAGTACAGAAGAAATGTATGCAAACTGTGATGGAAGAATTTATTTGATGTGAATGTGTTTTGTTTTAGGTTCTTTTTTCATTTGGAGACATTGATGGCGCTAGTCTTGTTTTGTTGATGAATGAAGCTATATGATGAATGCAGAACAGCATGCGTTGCCTTCCTCATCAGCAGGCCCTCCTGAGGTAAACCAAGTAATACCAGATCCAAATCCTTCATAGAGAATGATATGGAAAATCATACACCGGAAAATAATGGTCTTCCCTTAGGAATTACAAATTCTCTTAAATCTTCTAGCATGCTGTGTGATTTGTGGAGCTGCGTTTACACATTCTGTTTGTGGCATGCTTTATGTTTCTGTGATAAATTTTGCATGTGTAGATAGATTTGCATGGATTATTTATATTTTTTGCACTTAGGATATGGAGAGTTTGCAGGTGGAATGGAGTGGCCCAGTGATAAAAATCTATATTGTAGTTAACATTTCTTTGATTGCTCTCTCTCTCTGGATGATGGTAGTAATTGAAAGAGCATGATATTGTACACCTTATGAGCTGGAGTATTCTGCAAATTTAGAATGTGTAAGCGTGGCCAGTGATGGATATGGCTGAAATATTTAATTTCTTTTCAAGAAAGATGTTTGTATCTTTTAATTCTGCTCTTCTTTCATTTCCACTGTACTCCACACAAGGAAACATCCATTTATTGAAGAATTCTAATATCCATTTCAAAATTAGTAATATTGTCAAATGTGATCTGAACACTTACTGTTTTCGTAGGAACCATCTCATCCAGGATCTCTTCAACGTCACCCTGGAACCCCAGCAGATTTGCGTGTAGGGACAGCTGTGGCCCTTTCCAGTGTTGCCAAGTATTGGGTTCTCACAAACCTCTTTCCCAATCCATTGTCACAAGTTTCAGTGTACGGATTACATCAAAGGGTAAGAGGAAATTATAATATTAAATATAATCTAGTTGACATCCTTAGGTGAACTTTCTCACAGACTCTGCATTATTAATCTTAACTCTTCATGTTTGAAACACATCATGTAGAGAGGATATATTGAAGTAATACTGAGAAAAGATTTTTTGTCCACTGTCCACTTTCTTTTATTATGTTTTGCGTGTATATTTTCTTCATATTTGTAACAATTTTTTAAAAACTACAATTAATGTTCAGAAGTCTAAATTTTGGTGTATTTACAATTTTGTTCTATTGTTTAGGAATAGTAGCTTGCATTATTATTTTTACTATCATTCTTGATATCACTATTGTGTTCCTATTGTCCTGAAATGAAAGATTGTATTACAATATTACTTTGTATAGCCTTGTGAAAATGGAAAGCCAGGAGGTCAAGAGGGGCTGCCTCAGGCATCTCAGCAGCCACCTCAGCCGCCTCAACCTTGCTTAACTGGCCCTCCTGGGATTGGTGTGGCTTCTGAGAACATGGCCTTGGTCCCTCATCATCCACAGCATTCCCAGCCTCAGGTATGCCTCCCCTTAAAGATAAGTAGTTTAAGAGAAAGTAACAAGAGCATTGATTGTATCCTTTACTTTGATTATTTTGGCATCGCTGCCTAAATAGATTAAATATTAAGAATTACATAAATAAGCACAATATTTTTCTACAAATGTAGTGTAGAATTTTGAGAATAAATGAACATCACTTATCTAGTAGAATGTTCTGGAAAATTAGAGGAAAGGATTGTCCATTACAGTATGACTTGTCATATGTAAAAATATATAATATGCATGTGTAAATATTTGTGGACATACAAATGCAAACCGTACTTTTATAATACAATATTTCAACAGTTTATGTTTGCTTAGGTGCAGTGTGATCTTCAGTTGGTGAACGCAGCGAATGTTCAAAACAGTCAGTCTTCACAAAACTCTGAGCAGCTCAACGGACAGCAACCATCATCATCATCTTCTTCGTCACAACAGTCATCACAGCAGCAGACATCGCAGCAACAGTCATCCCAGCAGAGTATGGGTGTACAGATTCCACAACCTCAGCAGCCTCCCATGCAGCAACATAATCAACAGCAGGTATATCTCATCTTCCCAAAGATGTTACTTTTCTTTTTAGATATCATATGTCATCTCTCTTCTTCTTCCTCCCTCTCTCTCTCTCTCTCTCTCTCTCTCTCTCTCTCTCTCTCTCTCTCTCTCTTTAATATGCATTTCTAGTTTAATAGAGCAAGACTTTTTTGCTGAATTTTTGGAAAATTCTTATTGTTGTTTTTCATTTGATTGTCATTTTCAGCTCTCCCAGCAAGCACAAACACATCCCTCTCATCCTTCACAAGGTGAAAGAGGGCCAACAGGCGAAATGCCTCCACAACAGCAGTCACAGTCTCAGTCACAGGCTCAGCAGCAGCAGTCACAGTCGCAACAGCAATCTCAACAGTCTCAGCAGTCGGGGAACCAAGGGCAGTCTCAATCATCATCTTCACAAGTTTCTTCGCAAGAAGTTGGTACTCAAATGGATTCCAGTCCAGATCAATCTGTAAAGGATGAAAAACCTAGTACAAGTGGGTGCAATAAGAGTGAACGAAGCCTGCCCATGCCGGGGTTAGTAAGCCCTTGGAGGTAATTTTATATGAATTTTATTTTTTTATTTTCTACCTAGCATGTCTACTCATAATTATCTTACATCACAATGGTCATCCAATTCTTTTCTAGTTATATAGTTATTCAGTTTTTAAAAGTTATTGCGGAATTTAATTTCTCTTCTTAAGTTATGTGACCATTTCCATCTTTTACAGCTTTCAGTTGATCCTGTGCATGTGGAATAGATCTTTTAAATGCCATGTAATTCAGTGTTAGTGAATTAATGCAAATGTTTGCAAATGAAAAGATATAAATATAAGTTATGGTCAAACTTCATGATGATTAGTCAGACCTGTTTAACAAATGAAGTTTTGAAAAAAATATACTAATACCTGGTTTGACCTGAGTGATCCTTCAATAAAATAGCTTTGTTTTGAAATAAACAGATAACTATCTTTTATGGTTCCAGTTTTCCAATACAGGAATTGAAAGGCCACATGATGGACATCAGAACACCAGATGGCAGCATTGTCAAAATAAGTGCTCCCGTGAGCACAGACCAAGAGTTGAGCAAGACTCTTGGTGTCGAGATGGTCCAAAATATGTATAAGGTAGTGTATGAATGTGAGAAGAGTGATTGGTAGGCAGTCACACTAGTGCCAGGCCGAAGTAAGGAAACAAGTTCAACCCTGTCCCTGAAGCCGATTCCTCATGCTTATAACCGTTATCAAGTGAGCACTGTAGGTGTAATTGCTATATCATGATGGCTTTTTAGAGATGAAAATTTCCTTGAACTGCAGATCGGGAAATGGCCAAGTATTAGGAATTGGAGGTTTTACAGATGTATACTTCCTGTTGAATGTGGGGGAGCTACAAGTTGTTTTCTTACCTACAGGTTAATGTAGAGGACATAAACCAATTACTGGCTTACCACGAGGTGTTCGGAAAACTGCAGAATGAGATGGCAGCTGCAGGCAATTCGGCTAACGCAGGGCTGTCCGGAGGCAGTTCTTCGAGCAAGTCATGTGGAGGGGAGAGTGGCCCTGCCAGTAGTAGTTCAACCTCCCAGTCAGCAGCCGCAGCTGCTGTCATCTCCACTCCTGGCACCCACATCTGTGACATCTGTGGCAAGATCTTTCCTTTCCGGTACCAGCTGATTGTACACCGGCGCTACCACACTGAACGAAAGCCTTTCACTTGCCAGGTGAGGTAGCACTTTGGGTGTCACCTTTCTTTTTTGGTCCCCTGAGTAGAACAGAGACCCTTTTTTTAGAGTCCGTTCAAAAGCTTTCGTCGGATATTTTTTTAAATCATACTTTTGCGATTATGTAGAATGTTTCCTTACTACAGTCTGGTCGTAGACTGCTATGCATTCTCAGGTTTATTTTAATCTTGCTGCTTTGATCTTGTTAGGAAAATTTCAAGTTAAAAATGAATTGAGGTATATTATTTACCCTGTTTACCTATAACTTCAACAATAATCTTTTATATGCACAATAAACCTGAGAATACTTCAAAAATTTGAATGATGCGCATGTTGTGTGACTGACTTTATTTCTGATTTTTTGAACATGGAAAATATATAACTAGAAAAATTTATTTCTGCAGGTATGCGGTAAGGCGTTCTCATGTTCTGCTGAACTGAGCCAGCATGGGAAGTGCCACCTTGGGGGTAGTATGTACACCTGTGCCGTGTGCTTTCACGTTTTTGCCAATGCTGCCAGTTTGGAGCGTCATATGAAGCGACACGCAACAGATAAACCATATGTCTGCACTGTGTGTGGCAAATCATTTGCTCGTAAAGAGCACTTGGACAATCATACTCGGTGTCACACTGGTGAAACACCATATCGCTGCCAATATTGCGCCAAGACTTTTACCCGCAAAGAGCACATGGTAAATCATGTTCGTAAACATACAGGTGAGACCCCACACCGTTGTGACATTTGCAAAAAATCATTCACAAGAAAGGAACATTTTATGAACCACGTCCTGTGGCACACTGGGGAGACGCCTCATGCCTGTCAAGTGTGTGGCAAGAAATATACCCGTAAGGAACACCTGGCAAACCACATGCGGTCTCACACCAATGATACACCATTCCGATGTGAGATCTGTGGCAAGTCCTTTACTCGCAAAGAGCACTTCACGAACCACATCATGTGGCATACTGGGGAAACCCCACATCGCTGTGACTTCTGCTCGAAGACGTTCACCCGTAAGGAGCACCTGCTGAACCATGTGAGACAACATACGGGTGAATCACCTCATCGCTGTGGCTTCTGCTCCAAGTCGTTCACCCGCAAGGAGCACCTCATAAACCACGTTCGCCAACACACAGGTGAGACCCCTTTCCGATGCCAGTACTGCCCCAAGGCCTTCACCCGTAAAGACCACCTCGTGAACCATGTGCGGCAGCACACGGGGGAGTCGCCCCACAAGTGCCAGTACTGCACGAAATCTTTCACCCGTAAAGAACACCTCACGAACCATGTCCGTCAACACACGGGCGAATCGCCGCATCGCTGCCATTTCTGCTCCAAGTCTTTTACTCGCAAGGAGCACCTGACTAACCATGTGCGTATCCACACAGGCGAATCGCCGCACCGTTGCGAGTTTTGCAACAAGACGTTCACGCGCAAGGAACACCTGACGAACCACCTGCGCCAGCACACAGGGGAGACCCCGCACTGCTGCAACGTCTGCTCTAAGCCCTTTACCCGCAAGGAGCACCTCATCAACCACATGCGCTGTCACACAGGTGAGCGGCCGTTCAGCTGCTCGGATTGCGGCAAGTCGTTCCCGCTCAAGGGCAACTTGCTGTTTCACCAGCGCTCGCACAACAAGGGGGTGGCGGCCGAGCGTCCCTTCCGCTGCGACCTCTGCCCCAAGGACTTCATGTGCAAGGGCCACTTGGTGTCGCACCGCCGCTCCCACTCGGGGGACCGCCCGCACTCATGCCCTGATTGCGGCAAGACGTTCGTCGAGAAGGGCAACATGCTGCGCCACCTGCGTAAGCACGCCACAGAGGGCGCGGGTGGTCCCGCGGGCGGCGGTGCTGGCGGTGCTGGTGCTGGTCCTCCACAACCTGGAGGTCCGCCGCCACCAGGTCCTCCTCCCCAACCCCACCAGGCTCCTCCTCACCACCACGCAGCCGGGCCTGGTAGCGGGCACGGTGTCGTGGCAGTACCTACCACCCATCACTTACAGCATCATCCCCCACCACCACCTCTCCAGCCCCATGCTCCTCATACGGCTGTTGTTGTTCCAGCACCTAATGGGGTGCTAACCACCTATTAGTTCCATGCTACCTCTTTGTCCAGGAGAATAAAATCTTCTCATAAACAGGTTTATTGTGGAGGTAAGTTTGCAAATAATGTTAATTTGCTTAAGTGCAAAAGTGCTCTCTTCTTATACAGATGATTTTTGTTGTTTTGATTTCTTCTCTTGGGCATAAATATCTTGCAATTTTTAATACTCCTCTGGCACAACAGAAGAGTAAAACTCTTCTAAATTTTATCTGGCTAAATTTTTGCCTGCAAGCAAAAATTTGAGTTAAATTTGTAAAGTGACTCACACTTTAAAAAGCAATAATTAATTATTGTGTATACCTTCGAATATATAAATAACATTAAAAAATGATCTACATTAACATGAAATTAGGTTCATTGATAATGTTGTTGATTGTTTTGTGATGATCCTGGTGCTGAAATGGAATTGGTTCTCTTCTTTACCAACATTGCTGCTTATGTTATTTTCTTTACTGCTGTAATGGTTTTAACAAATGTGAAGGATTTTTTATGCATTTCTAGGTGAAGGGTTTTTAAAATCTTGATTTGCCTAGACATTCAATGTGGTTTTTAATTCTTTTTTAAAATGAAATTAGTTTAACACATTCAGTGCAACAAATTTCATGCAATTTCAATTTTTTTCAAATTCTATCATGTTTGAAGAATTATCACTATTATCTTGCATGTGCAATATAGGAATCTGAATCATTCTGTTCCCTTCAGTGTATTAGATAGTTGCAAGACAAATAAATATTGTGAAGTTACTGAATATACATGTAGTGAAGTGCATAAAACAGAATGAGTACAGATTACGTCAGGGAGGGGAAAGAGAGAAAACCATTCTCTGAATTTTTAACTCTTGCTATTAAAATGAGATTTGGAAATACTCAAGATAATTATTTTTTGCCACTCCATGGTAGAGCTAATTAACATTGAATTATACCCCTCTGGAGTATGTTGGCATGAGCAAAGAATGCAAATTAACACATGCAGTATTACAAAATATCATGAATATCTTTTTTTTCCTGTCTGATTATCTCCAATTAAAATTTTCATTAAACGATAACCTACACCAATAGGTATTTCATTTGAAATTCTTAAAATTGTGAGAAGTCTTCTTCCATCATGCTATAGGCTTAAGTTGAATTTCCTTACTTTTCATGCTTTTGCTTCCCTATCATGAACACAAAAATGGTTCCATTTTTTTCTTGATTTTGAAAAGTATTTGAAGTCAAGAGTTAAATAATAATTATAATCCTGTATTTCTTTTAGAGGTGTGTTTTTAGCAGATGTTATTTGGTTAAATCTATATGTGATAAGAAGAGAGCATAACATGTGGAACAGTTTTTTTATTTGATAGAGCTAAATTTTTTAAGATCTCGTTACTTTGTTTGAAGTATTTTTATTGTTTTCAGCAAGTGCATACTCTCGAATCTTGCCATTTAAATAATAGAAATCACATTTTTTAAATTTTTAAAAAATTTTTTTTGGCACTTCGAGTATTTCTTTGTAGGTGTTTTAATACTAGATGTAGGAGATGACACTTTATATATATATACATATATATTGTACATAAAACATACACATGAATTGTGTGATTAGATAAATATTGTTACATAACATTTCCAAGTAATGTGTCTTTAAAAACTTATAGTATTATCTATGAAACATATTATTCTACTTGTGAAATTTGGTAGATGAAAACTATTTGTTGATACATATTGTATTGCATGTCTTTTTAATTTGAGTTAGTGCCATGTGCTTTTTGAGTTTTAGGAAATTCGAAGGAAATAGGTTGGTGTGTCTGACATATGTATGGTGAGATTATTTTCTCACTGATCATAAAGCTTACACATCTTGACTTCAATAGAGAAGTGAATTTTAAGTGCGATGGAATAGATAAGTATGAAAAATGGTGCAATCTTCATAGTGCTTAAAACTTGACAATATTGACTCAACAATTGTGGTTCAAGTAGTTCATTTTCCATGTGTATGTAGCTTTGAGAATATCCCCTTATAATACTGTTTAGCTTATTGCTTGAAAATTGAAAAGACTATATTGGTGTTGTGAAGTGAAATTTCATTGGCATTCAGTCAGTGTGAACCTGTGAATTGGTGTAGGGGGTCTACTGTATAGAGGAGGAAAAAATTCTGAAACTTTTTCAAAATTTCATGATTTTATAAGTTTGTAGAATGAGGGAATAAATACCATGCACTAATTTTAGAATAAAATGCCAGGACTACATGAGACCAGTTTTACTTCATGATGTTGGCTATCGCAAGAAATGCGTATCTTATGTTTTCAAAGAGACATTAACTGTTATCAGCTTTGTGTTTTTTATTTTGGAGCATGCATTGAGCAAAACATTTTTATTATTCGGTTTTGATTTAATTACACCTACCCTTAGAGGTAAAATGTATTACAGGATGTTTAGATAAATCTTTTGACCCTTATATCCAAATCAAATTCTTCTTGGTTCTTGTAAAAGAATGGTTTTCCAGGTGCAATTTATTCATATGTATATATGGAGTGTATAAAATATTCCAAGGCCAAAAAGCTGACTGACTAACAAGGCAAACTTTATTTGTGTGAATGAATTATTTTATTACTTAAAAAGAAAATATAACATTTTAGAATGCATTGTTGTTACATAATGTTTTTGTTCCAAATTTTGGATGTATGTGAAGCATTTGTGTGAATGATCCAGTGATCCTGAATTGGTGATGGATTGTAAAAATTATGGAATATGGACTTAGAATGGTCCGATATTCTGAATAAATCCTTTTCAAGGGCTTTAACATCCTGCAGATTCGTTTTAAGTTTTTTCTAGTCATCGTATTGAGGTGCCATTTTATAGGTAATTTTAAGGAGGTTGGAAATGCACGATACATGGCACATTGGCAGTTAGGTATGGGTTGGTATTTGCCCTAAATTCAAGTAAAGTGGTAAGTACTAAAAATAAAAAATAAAAAAAATTATAAGTCTGTGGATTTTTGCCTTTTTCTGCATTATATCTCGATAGTTATTTAAAGTAGTTTTGTTTGAAATTGCTGTTTTGTTAAATGTGTGAAAATGTTAATTATTTCAGTGCATCTTATGTACACCATTAAGTCTGTAAACTGGTTTCATGTGGCAGGCAGGCAGCTCTTTGTTTGGTACGTTGGTCACATTCTGAGGGTTGTTTCTCAGCATATACACAAGTCTGTGGTCAACGAAGTTTCAGAGGGATCATGCAGTTCTTTCAAAGGATGGAATCTGTGACCTGTCTTCCTCTCAGACATTGCATATTTAGAAAAATATAGAATTTTTCAATGTGGGCATTTTGAGGCAAATGGTATGTTGTCTCATAAGTACAATTAATGGTCAAAAAGTTGATTTATATTTCATCTCTTTACATTAATATGAAATTCACTCAGTACAAATAAGTGAACAAGTTGATTTCATAAGCATCTACACTGTAGAGATGAGGCTGCTCGGTAAATAAGCTTCAACAATAATTAGTGCAATATTTCTACTTTTCTGTTTTATTTTTATTTGAGCCTTATTTGATAAAATAGTGCTGAGAAATAATTCCTAAGTGGTGATACTACCCATTCCAGATCTGAAGATGCCATGTGTAGATAGAAAAGGTACTTGTGAAACGGTCTATATGTTTGAAAACTTAAGTGTAGAATTAAATTGTGCACTGTTTATATATAAATATTTTTATTAGTTTACTTTTATGTTTGACGGAATTTAGATTTGAATCTTGGTGATGGTATTCTAGGAAAGGAAATAAGACATTTCTTGTAGATACTTGTAATTGTTTATTTTATTAGATAGTTATTTAAAAGCTCTTACAAGTTTGTGGAAATGTTGAGTACATTTTTTTATTATATATATATTTTTTTTAATTTTAATGTTTAGTAGTTTATATATTCATACAAACATAGAATATAGATAGCTTCTGCTTTAGAATCAATGTAAATACAATTCATTGTTCAGTTGCAAAGAAAGTTGAAGTATTAAAGGTATTTTTATAGGTACACATGATACTTGAACTTTTGTTTAAAATAAAAATGTACTCAAAACTTTTACAAACATTTTTCTAAGTACACATACCCACATATATAACCGTATAATGTAATGAAAAATTGTATAAGTCTTATGTTTAGAGAAATATTGATGTCAATTAAAACGATTTTAAACTGTAATGTGTTTGATTCCATGTTGACTATTATGCCGATATCCTTTGGGGAATAAATAATGTGGAATAAAAAGTAATAGGGTTATAAAAAGTAATACGTTAATGTTACAGGGAATGGGTGGTCAGGAAAGAATGTCTTGGAATAAACTGTTATGCATACTCCTTGGGAAAGATTTAAAACTTCTGGAGTAGCCACGTAAGTAGGTGACAAATGAAGTAATATGACGCGTTCGTTTCTGTCTTAAAGTTCTGAGTTCGTTCCGTGGCCTTGTGAATTTGTTGGGACCTGGATTTTCATTTAAAAATACTTGTTGCCAGCGTTTGTAGTGGATCTTATTAAAGAGGAGTGTAAAGTTTATAGCATTGATTAATCCTTCGTATACGTAGATTTGTATAGTCTTCGTAAATATAGATTATACATTATTTACCGAATTGTGTACATGTGACACGGGAAGTGAGTTTAACAGATGTTATAAATTATCCATTAAATTTAATTTGGCAAAATGGTAGTACTTGACGAAAAACGTGTAGATTCGAAAATTGAAAGTAACGAAGAAAGTAGCTCTAAAAGTGAAGCGGATCAGATATTCACCGTCGAAAGTATCCTTTCATCGATATTACTGGTCATAAGGTTTCATTATTCAAGTGAAACTAAATTAATTCTGAGCTGAAATGTAGTATTGTGTATTTCATGTAATTCCTTAAATAATTTCAGTTTTTAAAATAATTAAAGAGGCGCAGCAACAGCATGGATTAAGACATGGAGATTATCAAAGATACAGGTTAGAAAAGCGTGCTTATTTCAAAGATGTAGAGTAGAACAAAATGTTAAATTGAAAGCATTAAGCACTTTATAGTGAATTGTTTAATAATGTAAGATTTGTATGCCATATTTTTAGAGGTTATTGTACTCGACGAATAAGAAGACTCAGGAAAGTTCTTCATGTAACACAAGGAGACAAGAGACATTTCAAGAAGAAAGACATAACAGATGCTATGGTTAAAGATGAAAAGTTGAGTAATAAGAGCTGATTTGTACTTTTAAACTTGGTTTGTAAACCATTCAAATTTATGCAATTAGTGCTGCAATTGTATTTCATTTAATGTTGAATTATTGGCCAGGTTTCTTCACATTCCTTTAATGATGGCAGAAAGGGCGTGGGGCTATGCAATGCAATTGCGTCAGGAGTCGAACACAGAACCTAGAAAGAAATTTCATTTAGTATCTCGTCTTCGGAAAGCAGCATCATATTCCCTTCAATTGCAGAAACTTTGTGAGGTAAAATTCTTTATTTATTTCTTTTAATAAAACTCAGAATTTTAAATGATTTTAATTGTTTTGTCATTGCTATTTTAGAGTACAAAATGTGATGCTCGCACAAAACTTGAAGCTCAAGCATATGTAGCATGGATTCATGGCTCACTACATTTTGAATTGCAACTTTGGAAGCATGCGATGGAAAACCTCAAGAAAGCTCAGTAAGTTTTAAAAAAGATTTCATTGCAATATTTGTTAATATGAATTTTTCATAAATTGAGATCAGATCTACAGTACATTATTGTACTGTGTAAATAAATGTTCCAATGAATTGTTGATTCACTGTGTATGTATATATGTGTGTGTAATTTAACTTAATATATCAATGTGTGTTGCTTGAACAGAAATGCCAGATACTACTCTTTTTATGACTTATTTTTATGAATTCATTAAACAGATTTGACTCTCTCACTGTCTTGTGCTCTCACTGCCAAGTGTAGTTGGAGCCAAAAGACATGCAATAATTCACCCAATCATTGGCAAAATACATCAATCTTTTTTAGGGCACTATACAAGATTAGAAAATGTGAAGTGTTTATATGAATTAAATACATTTAAATACTTAATTTTAGTAAATCTAATGTAGTTAGATTCTGAGGTAAAATTAAATTAGTTTCACTTTTATTGGCCATTTTACTCATGCGCCATAATCGAGAGTGTAGACCTCAATTAGATTTCCCAATAGGTATAAAAAAATGTTATTTTATCATTATTTCTAGTACTGGCTGTGGAATTTCCCAGTTGGTTTTTGATGATAAAGTGAGGAAATCAATTTCATTATTTAGCAATTTACAAAGAAAATAAACAATCATTGAATTGTCTATGTGAATATAAAGTATTAATATTTACATAATTAGCTACATGGAAGTAGTTTTGGGATATACTAGGAAATTCCACTGACGTTTCTACGCCATGTAGATGGAAAATATATGTTGCACAGTTTCAATTTTTTTTAAAAATATGTATCATTGTAGGGTGTTCAAACTGGTGAAGTATAAAGTAAGATTGGCCTCACTAATGATATGTTTTAAGGATTTTTAAGTCCACAAGCATTTGTCTCACAAATCCTAATGTTTTTGTTATGCAATCAATATGTTTATTAAATTGTAACGATGAATCAAAGATAACTCCTATATCTTTAAACTCATTTAGTTTTTCAAGATTTACATCACCGATAGTATTGATATTCTGTTTGCCTAGAAAACTTCATAACTGTTTAACGTAGCACATTAATTTGTGGAAAGATACCTTCATTGAGTTTTGGAGAAAAGTGTATGTAGCATCGGTGTGATATTGGAAATACAATATTTTTAAGAATGATGTTGGTACACTATATGATCCAATTTCTTTGTTAACTTTGTTTACAAACACCATTGTATTCTTCTCTCAGTGTAACTTCCAAATTACTGATATTGATTGAAGAATTAACATAATGATTCTCAACACAACACACTGAATGATCATTCTCATTATAAACAGATTGAAAAACTTCAGCAAATAAGTTCACAATATCTTCACTATTATTAATATACTTAGCATCTAAAAACATTTCTTTTGGTAGTCCCTTAACTCTCCTTTTATCATTTGTATATTTCCAGAATGATTTAGTATCATAAGAAATGTTTATTTCAATTCTTCCTATATAATTGTCGTAGTCAGTTTTATTCATGTGTTTACATCTACGTAGATTAGAACATTGAAGATGGTCAGTATCATCCAAAGTAAATTTATATTTGCTATGTGCAATAGATTTTTGTTTTAGTAAATTCTTTAATTCTACTAAATACTAGTACAGCTAGTTACTTCGAAAATTTTTATATTTGGGAATACATTTATTCGTTAAATAGGAAATTGTTACATAGAAGAAATCAAGGAATGCAATTTAATTAATGTTGTTAAAGTATCGAAAGCAATCTATTCAACATTATTCATTATTGATATATTAGTAATCAGCTTTATCACAATTATAGTTAATATAATTTTCTAATGGTTAAAGATACTTTAACAGTTGTGAAAAAGAGATAACATTCTAATACAGGATGGTAAGAATCACATGGTATGTGTGTGTATGTCTGTGAGTGTTTGTATGTAAAGTACGTACGTATATGTACTTGGTGCGACAGCCCGTGAATGGGCTCAGGCCTACTGGTGACGTTCCTGCCTCGCAACCATGGCTTAAGAGGGTATGTATGGATGCACTTAGACATTCCAATGCCGTATTCCAGTCTTTCCAACCTGACAAGCGAATTTTCTCATCATCACACAGCAACATATACTGGGACCTTGCAAAAAAGACTATAGTCTTGGTTTGACCAGGAATCGAACCCGGGACCCCGTAGTGGAAAATAATCTCGTGGTACTAATGGACAATTTGATTAGATAACTTTACAGTTTAGTTCTTGAGGAAAAATAGGATCTAAGGTTTTATTGTTTGAATTAAGTGTAGTATTAAAGTGTATGAGATTAGCATAATTCATTGAATTAAGCAGTAATTCACTTATATGGATTAGTTGCATTTTGATAATTACATTGTAGCCTATCCTCATCATTCTTCCCTTTAGTATGGGGTAAATCAAAGTCGCCTACTTCATGAAAGCTAGATTCAGAAAGATTTTCTAAAGTCTCTGTAAATTTCAAATAAGTTTCAATAGAAGAATTATATAGAATAGAAGAAAGAAAGTAAACTGCAATAACTATAATATCTATATCGTATTTAACATGTATAATTAATGTTTGAATGGAAGTATTTTGCATTTCAATACACATACTATTGTAATTGTTTTTATTAATACCCCTCCACCTCCACCTTGTAAATGTTGACTAGTTTCAGATCTATCCCATCTGTAGATGATGTGGTTGATAAAGTTGTGTTTGGCATTAGAGATGTCGTCATAAAGCCGGGTTTCACTGTGCACTATGATGTCAGTGTCATCCAGTGAATGAGAGGTACCATGGAGAGTAGACAGTTTAGTTCGTAATCCTCTGACGTTTAGATAGTACACGGATAAGTAGAAGATTGACTGGTTATTAGTTTTCCAGATTAATAGTCATATTATCATTGTATTTGTCAGTTTTCATTATGTCCTTTCCCTTCATTGTTTCTGTTTGATATTAATGAGGGAACACCATTAATATATTTTATTTTTGCTTTATTGTTACCTTTATTAGTTTCAATTTTCAACTCAAGTACTCTTTTAAGATGTTCTCTTTTACGTTTCGAGAGATCAGAACTTATTTTGATAGGCTTCTTGCAGTGATGTTTGTCCATCAAGATTTGTAAAGCTTCTGCTCAGTTATTCGAGATCACCTTAATTAGTCTTGTAGTTCTGTCATTTAGGGCATAGAGTCGCTGAATTAGCACTCTCTTGCCATTAGTCTTGATATTTGCCATCTCATTTATAATAGCTGATACTGTTTATCATCAATCAACCTCTGTTGCGGTGTATCTGTTTACTTTCTTCCATGCCATATGTGATGATATTCTTCCCATGTTCTGTCATAAAATTTTGAATAAAATTTCTAATAATTTCAAAATAATTAGTGTGCATTAGCTATGGGATGAACTCCTGGATTCCTTGTGCTCACGAACCCAGGCAACAAGATCTTTATTTGCTTTCAACAATGCCTTTGAATTTCAGTAATGTGCTATTCATAACTGTATTATCGATTTCATCAACGCACACTGAGAAGTAATTTTTCATCTGCTTCTTAGTTGTATTAAGAGCAGATACATTGTCTTGCAAACTTGAGCATGAGGTGCAATCAGGGTGAAATTTGATTTAAATTTATCGCATTCAATATAATTAGCTTCACTGAATTTATTATGAATTTTCTTGGTTTTACTAGCGCATTTCTTGATACCACAGGTCAGAAACATCTTAAATACAGGGAAAATTCGTGAAATAATACGAACTAGGCTTTGTTAAATCGAAGATATAAATTTTGAAATATGGTTTATGCACAAAAACAGAAGTCAGAAATCAGTGGTGAAATTATCGCCGACAATTCCACCTAACTTCAGCACAGGTTTCACTTTACTAAAACAACAATTATATTGCATTCATTAAGTAGATCTAGCCTGAAATAAAAATTCTTTAATTTTTGCAACGATAAATACACTTTACACGTGACCAAGAATTCATCTTCGCTATCTGAAAATTCCATTGCTAAATGTAACTCACATTTGCTTCTGCTTCTACTTTAAGGTAATGGAATAGTTTATCTTGTGTTTGCACTGTGGATATATCTACCTGTGTATGTATGTGTGTGTGTGTGTGTGTGTGTGTGTGTGTGTATATATATATATATATATATATATATATATATATATATATATATATATATATATATATATATATATATATATATATACATATATATACAGACACACACAGATTCACGAATTTTCCCTGTATTTAAGATGTTTCTGACCTGTGGTATCAAGAAATGCGCTAGTAAAACCAAGAAAATTCATAATAAATTCAGTGAAGCTAATTATATTGAATGCGATAAATTTAAATCAAATTTCACCCTGATTGCACCTCATGCTCAAGTTTGCAAGACAATGTATCTGCTCTTAATACAACTAAGAAGCAGATGAAAAATTACTTCTTAGTGTGCGTTGATGAAATCGATAATAGTTATGGATAGCACATTACTGAAATTAAAAGGCATTGTTGAAAGCAAATAAAGATCTTGTTGCCTGGGTTCGTGAGCACAAGGAATCCAGCAGTTCATCCCATAGCTAATGCACACTAATTATTTTGAAATTATTAGAAATTTTATTTTATATATATATATATGAGAGAGAGAGAGAGAGAGAGAGAGAGAGAGAGAGAGAGAGAGAGAGAGAGAGAAAGAGTCAGAGAGAGAGAGAGAGGAAACACTGGTTATTTCTATTCCACAAAAATACAGAGAAAAAAAAGCTCTCAGATTTAAAAAATTGATTGTCAGTGTAGAATTCTAACAATTATTTTTAATTGACAGAATTAATTATTTATGGTGAAATTATAAGAAATTTTATTAATCTTAAGAATAATTTTTACGGTCTCCCTCTTATCGTAAGAAGAGAAAGTATTGTAGTCGTGCGCCAGAAAACCGGCGAATTTTCGGCACACTCCTTATTGCCGGGCCCTGGTAACGAAAAAGTCGATAAATTCAG